AGGGGTTAACAACATTGTTGTGATTCACTGGGGGTTATTTCATTATTGTCTAATGAATGGAAAAAACAATTCGGTCTCACAATATGAAAAAAGCCTACAACATATAAGCAAAATTCCCAAGTTATGTCAAGTTCTAAAGTTATGCCAAAAACAAAAATAGCTTTCTGTGAAGAAATTACACCCTTTGGTTCACAAGCTCTATTTTATCTTGTTCGGTAGATAAAACTTCCGAACACTGACCACCCCCCTGGTTCATTAACTATAAAGAAAACCGTAAGATTAAGTGCTCTCCCTGTGTGTTGCACGAAAAGAGTCAACGGGACTTGGTCTTTGAGTGTCTGGAACTTCAAATCGGATACTCGACTTCCCGAACACCAGTCAACTTTGCGAACGTCTGCTTCTTTTTACCGACCAGCCAGGAGAGAGCTGTTGGGAAGGTTTCTCCAAACAAACTAGGTGAACAAATGCTACTCATGAGCCAGGGAAATCGTTTGTGAATTTGTTCCACTTGGAACTCTCGACATGGACCGACTGGTCAAAACTTTAGCCCGGTGGCGATTCATGGGATCTGAGCGCTATTTGGCCAACTTGGGTGCTCAAATCCAAGCTATCCCAGGATGTGACATTTATTGGGGTTGCTATATGTTTTTTATGTAATATTTTGTAATTTCTATATTTTATATTTTATGCAGTCATTGTGACTCAGGAATTCTGTGGGCGTTTTGTGGGAGTTTCTGTGGGAGTGTACTTTGGAGTTGCATAAAAGCCGGTCAGTTGGCCTGAATAAATGTATTCCTGTTGTACCCTTCATCTAGTTCAGGCTGGTGTTTGGGTATGCGTCTGATTACTTGGTGGATTTACTGGTATGCAGTAATTTCGTCTGGAGAATGTTCGAATCAACTCCCGAACGTGTATCCGAACAAACGAACGGGTATCCAAAATACCAGTGTTCTTAACAACTGGTGGCAAGCAACAGAATCAAATGGAATTCTTAAGCAAGGAGAACCGGTGAATGGCCCAGCAGTACGAGAAGTTAAGGAGAACTACTGCTGGAAGCACAGGGTCAGTAGGCGAGCAACAAAAAGAAAGCAACACTCATTGCCAAATTTATGGAGGGCGATCAAGCCAGCGGTGCAGCAGATGTAAGCCGGAAGGAAGCAGAGTATCAGCGCAAAGTAATGTGGGGACTCTGCTTTTTGGGGCCAAACCCTTTGCCAGAAATCGTGGCGCAAATCTTGGCACAGGTAAGCGCAGAACAGAGGGCCCACCAGACTAACATGTGCCATGCAGAGACGGCATTGTTACCCGGATCTATAAATAGAGGGCAGCGTAGAAAAATCAATTATGCTGCCTTCAAAACTTTTGTTAACAGGGAAATGGAGATCAACACCTATTTGCAGGGCTTTGAGAGACAGTGCGCTTTAGAGGGGCTAGAGCAAGAACATTGGGCTGCAATATTGAGCAGCAAACTCACCGACCGAGCAGCAGAAGCATACCGGGCGGTTCTCGGCTATTCACAATTATGAGCAGATAAGAGATATCCTGCTCGCCCGATATGGGCCTTTCGGATGCACCAGGCAGCTCGAAATTGGATGTAGGACTGCCAGGGAAAGACTTTGGAGGATGCAGTGCAATTGTAATTATTGGAGCAATTCTTTGAGCACACACAACGGAAACCCGGGACTGGGTGAGGCATAAGAAACTGGGTACAGTGGAGGAGGCAGCTCAGTTAGCGGATGAGTACCACGATGGGAGAAAAGTAGAATTGAGTGGAGGGAAAACCACATTTAAGCACCCTTATCCAGCGCAAGGTCCTCTTCCACCACCCAGACCTATCTCCTACCCTCCGGTATCACCGCCAACACCCATTCAGCTCCTGCCTTCCCTTTGTCACCACTGCCAACAGCCAGGGCACTATAAGATGAACTGCCCTCAACAGAACCAAGGTAGATTGGAGTAAACAGCACCACAACAGTCCAGGCCACGGCACACTGCTACCACCAAAAGGTGCCCAAGGACATAGCGAAGAACAATGGATGGTGCTACAAGAAACCAACCCAGTCCAAGCAGCAGGTGACAATTGGGGGCACCATTGGCAGTGGGTCACCATTGTCACCTCTGTCTCTTTCTACTTTTTTCCCTTTCCTCCCATTTATGGTTTCATAATTGGGGCTGATTTGTGCCACTATGCATTGTACTTTTTTGTCCCTACTATCAGAAAGTCATAATGTTCTGTGTTATTTCTTTTTCTGTATTTATTTCACCCAGACAAGATGCGTGTGTTTCCTGTTCTGACATTTGCACAATGTAAAATCCAACCGACTATATCTCTTCCTTAACTGTCCAATTGTACTAAATTTTATATATTACATGGATAGGTAAGACTAGTCTGTCTCCAATTAATAAGGAATATACACTCCATGATAGGTGATAAGCAGACTTTAATTGGAATAACCATATACAGGAAACAAAACAAAGGTCACATTGTGCGATTAAAACATTATTTCCTGTATCTGGTTATTCCAATTAATGTCTCAGGGTGCCCAGGCTTCTTCCTTATTAACAGCATTGTTAGATGAGGTTTGCAACCTCTTGTCGTTGCAGTCCACTTGGCTATTTTATTGAACTAACAAGTCTTCCTGTGTGTAGTCTCCACCTTTTTGTGGATAGTCAGTGTGTTGCAACTGCACCTGTCAATATGGCGCCCTGGCCAGGTTAAAGGATCACTATAGGGTCAGAAACACAAGCATGTATTCCTGATCCTATAGTGTTAAAATAAACATCTAGCCCCCCTGGCCCCCTCATGCCTCCATAAATATAGCAAAATCTTACTGGATTCATGCCTGCATGCTGTTGGACTCCGAAAGACAAGCTGTCTGCTGACATCATCAGAAGTGGTAGCCTGATCCAATCACAGTGCTTCTCCATAGGATTGGCTGAGACTGACAAGGAGGCAGATCAGGGGCAGAGCCAGCATGATTCAAACACAGCCCTGGCCAATCAGCATCTCCTCATAGAGATGAATTGAATCAATGTATCTCTATGAGGAAAGTTCGGTGTCTGCATGCAGAGGGAGGAGACACTGAATGTTTGGATGCATTTTAGGCAGCCATGACCCTGGAAGGATCTCTAACAGCCATCTGAAGAGTGACCAGTGAAGTTCTCACTAGGCTGTAATGTAAACACTGCATTTTCTCTGAAAAGACAGTGTTTACAGCAAAATGCTTGAAGGTAATGATTCTACTCACCAGAACAAATTCAATAAGCTGTAGTTGTTCTGGTGACTATAACGTCCCTTTAAGGTCCCCATTTGGAAAACCATTAATTAGTATAATGCCAATTCAGAAATATATAAATAATAAATTACTACAAGCACTCCCTTCCGGACTCAACATTAGAGTCTGGGCTTACCATAGCAATGCTCTGACCAGTTGAATTTATGTGGTTTGCACCTTCTGAAGGTGCAGACCACACGCTAACTCATTGGAACATCAGCGATGGGGTCGACAGCACAACAGGAATAAAAAAAACAAAAACAACCTTTGTAAGAATAAAAACAAACACTATACATACACACACCCCACACAAAAACACTAGTTTAACACTACAATCATTGTGATTATCCCCACAATCAGACTCAGCCACCATACCTAACCCAATTAGATGTATTTCTTAGTGTTAGAGCAAAAAGGGGGCACCAGTGGATCCTAGCTATCAGTGTCATTAAGTTAATCTGTTATATCTGTCTGTGTCTACGATCTATTTTATTTAGACCTTATCAGAGTCTGGGGACAAGATACCAGAATAAACCATAACATGACACAAACCCCTTTTCTTAAATTAATTTTAGTTATTCTACTTGATTCTCTCCAGTTTCTAGAATAAAATTTCAATATAAGAAACACAAAACTATATATGAAAAATGGGAAACATGAGTTTTCAAATATTGCTACTGTATTTTTTAAGGAATGCAGTGCCCTCCTGGGATTTTGACATTTACCATATGTGATTGATAATTTATTGACCATTATCTATTCAGAATTTTGACCTTGTGACCACTAATTTGGTTTCTGAACCCATGTAATGATGCTGTAATTCCATGCTCTCGTCAACTCTAATAAATAAAACCGTTGTGAAAAATCTGCAGAAGACCCACTGCTAGACTTTTAGTTATACCTTGTAGTTGATATAGCCCATACTCTTGGATCTGTGTGAATGACATTTACATATAGTACACAGAACAGAGGAAGGAGTATTTAAGAAAATAAAACAAAACATCATAGGTTATATATTAAATTTTCCAAAGAACGTCTTTTTCATAAGCTCAACTTAATACCATTTCCAGTTTTACATTTTATATTGACACCCAAAACGTATCAAATATTTACAATTCCTCTCACATATCTTTTTAGTCTTTTGATTTATATCACTATATCAATAGCTGTATAGACATATGAATAAGCTATCGGGAAATGGCCATGGCATTTGAACGTGACATATTTGATCCATACCCATGTGCGCTTGATAGTCAATGTGACAAACTCCCCTTTCTTAGTGAGTTTTCATGAGCTCATGGAGAAGCCTGCTTGCCAGCCTCCTGCCCACAGACTATGGGCACTGTAATATACACTGAAAAGTCTCTGTTCATGTGTTCGGACTATATGGTTCGGGAACCGAACAGCCGCATGAATCGGAGATCACTCTGTAGCTTGTTAAGCTTAATTTTATAACATGACAGGAGGCTTCATATTTGCTTAAGTCTCTCTTTACTAGAACTCCACAGCAGCAAAAAAACACAGAGAGTAACAACCAATCAAAAAACAGCAAGGAGACCATATAACTCCCTTCTCAACATTCCATTTCCTCTTTCTTGCTGCTCCGCATCAGTACAGGTCAGAGTACCGCTGCCTCCTGCTAATATTAGTTGGTGGCTGTGTATATTATTTTTACCTTTGTGTTTGTATATTTTACTATTTGGGGACTGTGAATTTATGCCTAGTTTATGCCCTCTGCTTCCATTGCTCTGGGTTTTGTGTCCCTGGTTCTTGCCTTTGCTGGCACTCTCCCCCTTATCTGTCCCCCTATTTATTTTTATTATTATCCTTATTACTTTGCCTAATTATTATTCTAAATTATCCTTATTATCCTTATTCTGATTAATTTTCTTCTTTTCTTGCTCTACTGCCGTACCGCCTTTCTTCTGCTGTGCGGGTGAGTTTGCTGCTCAGGGGTTTCAGGAGGTCGGCCTGTTCTACCTCCTCCGATCCCCCCGAGATCCGGGACCGCGGAGTATGTCTCCAACGGTCCCGTGTGTGTGCCTTTAGCTCCGGTCGCAGGGTGCTGTGCTTGCGGTCGCGCCTGCCGACCGGAGCCTTTACACATGGCCCCCGGCCGCGACTGGCTCGATCCGCGGACCACGTAGGTCCGACAGGTGGCGGAGGGAGCACCATCGCTTGCCCCGTCCCCCACCTGTGGCATCACTACTGGCTGTTAGAGGCTTTGCCTCCCCACCACGGAGCCTGGCTGGGGTTAGATTGCGGCCTGAGGCCCTTATGTACTGCCGGTCTGGGAGCTGTCCCCTTCCCCTACACCAGGCCGGATTTTCGCCGGCCCTCTATTTGGCTGATCCAAAGTCATTATATTGAATTCCTCATTGGTGGACAGTAGGGGGTACCCCCCTTTTCCCTCATTTGCATGTTCTATGCTGGAAATTTTATATGCATGCATTAAATATTAGTGGAGCCTCTGCCCCTATGGGGCCTAGCAATATAAATTTGCTCCCCTGAGGGCATCATCTATGCAGACTACATATTTCTATGTCAGAGGCATACAGCTGGGTCTTCACACTACAGGGACCCTTATGCTTGTCTACTACTACACCTATACATGACTTGGCCTGTTTTATCTGTGCCCCATTGCCTGGCCTGTTTTATCTGTGCCCCATTGAATGGCCTTCTTTGTCTGTGCCCCATTGACTGGCCTGCCTTGTCTGTGCCCCATTGACTGGCCTGCTTTGTCTGTGCCCCATTGACTGGTCTGCTTTATCTGTGCCCTATGACTGGCCTTCTCTGTCTGTGCCCACTATACCAGCCTGCTCTGTCTGTGCCCCCTGACTAGCCTGCCCTGACAGTGCCCTGTTGATAACTGGCGCTTGCCCGTGCCTATATCCCTTCCGGCCGCTGGCCTGGGTATATTTACGGTGAATTCAGGTACGGGCGACCCCCCCCGACTACACAATACACACTATAATTGTGTCCGTATTAACTCTAATCTCATACTGACTTGGGTGACACCTGTCATTTCTACCCCACAGAATCACGCTACGAGCAGAGTATGGAAGCCCATACCCAAGAGGACCTTCAGGCTATGATCAACGCGGCTGTCGCCACCTCCATAGAGAAGGCACTCTCGCGGGCACTACCCCTAACGGCCCAAGATAGGGACATGGCGGAGTCGCAACACACGAAGATAGAGCCCGTCACCGAATCACTGGACAGAGACCGGTCACCCAAGGCCGCACACCCAAGCGCTACTGGAAGGGTGAAGGCCCTGAGCCAGAGAACCAGAAGGGTAAGGCCCCGCAATGCAACCTAATCGGACGACCGCTTCTTCTCCAGCACGATTGAGACACCTCCCCGACGAGGAAGAGGAGTTTGTTCTTCACCCACCCATGTCCGTCCTGGATGAATGGCAGGCAGATCAATCCCCCTCAGAGGATGAAGGCGGTGGGGCGAGGGAGACCCAGAGGAATTTTCATACCAGCGAGAATACAGTGAGACCGCTTCACAGCACCTGCGAAGTGAGACCGCTCTCCCACCCTTCGTGTTCTTGGCAGGGCTGGAAGGCAGCGGGGTCGTGCCTCCAGCCGCTTCTGGCCATTGAGCCACCGAGGATCCCGGACCCCGTCCTTCTTTCCAAGCTACCACTCTAGGTCCTTCACCTCCCAGAGGTCGGGCCTTGGCAGAGGAAGCCGGACACGGGGTAGAGGCAGAATGCCTACATGTGAGACATGTTTCACCACATGTTTTTCCAACCCTTTGCATGCCGGCAGGTTACGTTTTTGTCTCGACAGGTGGCGGGACATTTCTTTGGACGCGTGGATACTCCAAACAGCCCAAGGTTACGTTATAGACTTCCATTCGCCTCCACTCCAGGAGGTGCCCCTCCAACTCCAGTATTGTCACGAGAGCTACAAGTCCTGGTGGACGCCGAAATACCCTTTTCGACAAAGGGGCAGTTTAGTGGGCCCCGGTTTCTTCAGCACTATTTTCCTAGTCAGGAAGAAAACGGGGGATTTCCGTCCAGTTATAAACCTGAGGAATCTGAACGCCTTCATCTCTTATCAACACTTCAAGATGGAGGGCTTCCATCTTCTAAGAGACTTAATAAAATTAAGATTATATGTACACTAAAGTTAGCATAATCTACAATTGCTACTTTGTACCAATTTACACCACAGTGTTTTAAGTGTTCGTCTGGGTGGCCGCATTTCCTATGGACGACCACGAGCTGGCAGCCATCTTGTTCGCATGAAAACAGGCAGTGCTGTTTGGTCGTCAAGTTCATGGAACTATTTTCGGACACTGAAACTCCCTAACACCGCTGGACTTCCATGATCATTTGTTTATGGTTTTATAACACTTAGGAAGACACTGTTCGATGGAAACGATCCCACAAACAAGGGGAACAAACTACAGGGTAAGACTCTTTAATATGTTCGGTAGTTTGTTTGGTTTTTAAGTTACAGAACTAGACCAGTCAAAGCCCTAGTTCTCTGGAACTGTTTTGGGCATGGGACCATACGTGCGGTTGGTAAAACTATGACTTCCAGAAAATTCACAAACTCCTGATTTTTGGATATGTTGGTCACCCAAATCGGGGGTACCAGGGGATGTAAATTTGTGGGGATTGTGTGTGTTTAAAGGCATTTTTGGGGTTTTGTAAAAATATATGTTTTCTGTGCCTGGAGATAATTGAGTTTAATACAGTGCTGACTCAATTATCTCCCAGACACAGAGGAGGGATTGACTTATTTTGTATGAGAGTGTCCTGGACCTGAGAGCTAATGTAATTGTGTGTATGTTTTTCCTGTAGTAAGGTCCAGGGGGGAGTGCCCCTTGCATGGAGACCTGCATATAAGGCCAGTTGTGGCTGCCAATAAACACATCCGTTTTATCCCTTCATGAAATCTAGGCTCATGTTTGGGGGATTGGAGAGCTATATTCACTGTGGGGATTGCTATAATCACTATACTCCCTTGGGTTGCAAAGATTGCTCTTGTAAGAGCAGCCTGCTTTGCTCTCTGGACTAAGAGAGGTCTACCCACTGGGAGCTGGATCCTGGTCTTGGGTTAAGGGTGGGTGGAGGACAGCAAGACCCCAACCAAGCTGTGGCAGTTTGTGGGGTTTACGGTGGTTATAGTGTCCAGTGAGGTGCTTATGGTACTCAAGGATTACTAGGAAGCAGCGATTGACAGAGGTACCCAATCGGGATTCAAGGCGGTCCGTCACAATCAATCAGTTTATACCTTTGTTTTAGTTTGATCTCTTCTGATTTAACAATTTGGTTTTTAATAGATTTTCTTATGAAAAACAAAGGATAACACTTCAAAGGTTGTGACTAAACATTTACCTAGCCCCTAAAATAGTTGTGCTTTTTTGTTTAAGTGTTACCAGCAAGGTACCAAAGATAATTTACAAGACTATTGCCCATTAGAGTGCAAACCCCATTTTATTATGAAGAATTGGAAATTCGGCGGAATAGAAGCAGCGGTAAGTGGACCATGTAATATTTTTTATCCATTGTAATAAAGGAAATTAGTTAAGTATTTCCTACCATCTACATCCACCACCTGATTACAGGAACTCCACTGGACCTTTCTTGAATGTATGGAATAGGGTGTCACCAGTGGGATGTCCTTAAACATACACTGCTCAAAAAAATAAAGGGAACACAAAAATAACACATCCTCGATCTGAAAGAATGAAATATTCTTCTGAAATACTTTGTTCTTTACATAGTTGTATGTGCTGACAACAAAATCACACAAAAATAAAAAAATGGAAATCAAATTTTCAACCCATGGAGGTCTGGATTTGGAGTCACACTCAAAATTAAAGTGGAAAAACACACTACAGGCTGATCCAACTTTGATGTAATGTCCTTAAAACAAGTCAAAATGAGGCTCAGTAGTGTGTGGAGCCTCCATGTGCCTGTATGACCTCCCTACAACGCCTGTGCATGCTCCTGATGAGGTGGCGGATGGTCTCCTGAGGGATCTCCTCCCAGACCTGGAGTAAAGCATCTGCCAACTCCTGGACAGTCTGTGGTGCAACGTGACATTGGTGGATGGAGAGAGACATGATGTCCCAGATGTGCTCAATTGGATTCATGTCTGGGGAACGGGCGGGCCAGTCCATAGCATCAATGCCTTCGTCTTGCAGGAACTGCTGACACACTCCAGCCACATGAGGTCTAGCATTGTCTTGCATTAGGAGGAACCCAGTGCCAACCTCACCAGCATATGGTCTCACAAGGGGTCTGAGGATCTCATCTCGGTACCTAATGGCAGTCAGGCTACCTCTGGCGAGCACATGGAGGGCTGTGCGGCCCCCCAAAGAAATGCCACCCCACACCATTACTGAACCACTGCCAAACCGGTCATGCTGGAGGATGTTGCAGGCAGCAGAACGTTCTCCACGGCGTCTCCAGACTCTGTCACGTCTGTCACATGTGCTCAGTGTAAACCTGCTTTCATCTGTGAAGATCACAGGGCGCCAGTGGCGAATTTGCCAATCTTGGTGTTCTCTGGCAAATGCCAAACGTCCTTCACAGTGTTGGGCTGTAAGCACAACCCCCACCTGTGGACGTCGGGCCCACATCCCACCCTCATGGAGACTGTTTCTGATCGTTTTGTTGCCTGCTGGAGGTCATTTTGCAGGGCTCTGGCAGTGCTACTCCTGTTCCTCCTTGCACAAAGGCAGAGGTAGCGGTCCTGCTGTTGGGTTGTTGCCCTCTTACAACCTCCTCCACGTCTTCTGATGTACTGGCCTGTCTCCTGGTAGCACCTCCATGCTCTGGACACTACGCTGACAGACACAGCAAACCTTCTTGCCACAGCTCGCATTGATGTGCCATCCTGCATGAGCTGCACTACCTGAGCCACTTGTGGTCCTAATCCAAAATTGGTTATGATATTAGGAGTACCATTGCGCTGTTCCCCAATAATGAGAAACTGTTTTACAATGTTTTTCCATCTTACCTAGACCTGCCGAGTCCCAATGGTCCTCTGAAGCATAGTTTACAATATCAAGCTTCTGCAGAGCACTTTTGTTCCGGGCTGGCTGATGGCACCCCAATGATGCTGTTGGAGTTGGAGTTACACATTCATCATCAAAATGGGTTAAATTTGGTAATAGCAGAGTTTTAAAGCAAAATGCTGCACGTCCAT